GACAGTCTTTCTTACAACCATCAGCCACATGAGCCCCGGCATTTTGGATCTTCCAGCGACCCCAACACCCCGACTAATAACAACAGTCTGCTTAATCCACAGAATCACGCCCATTAATCACTTCTTCTAAACCACTAAATTTTGGGATGCTTTGTTAGTAGCAATAACAAAGCACTTTTATCTGATGTTCACAGTGATCCTCTGAAGGTAGACGTTTACATTTATCTGAAAAATGAGAAAACGGACGGTCAGCAAAGTTACAAACCTGAATATTACACAGCTCTTACCTCACAGAGCTGAGATTCAGCTGCAGCATTTCAGTGGCTGAGTGAGTTATAAAGCTGTAGCCAAGACAGTCTTACTGAGAAAAAAATTAAGGGAAACATCAGACAATTGTAACACCAGAATCATAAATAAAGCAAATTAATAAATATGGCACAGATGAAATCATCCAAAAAAAGGACTACAGAAATCTTTGCAAACTGAAAACAACCTTCCATCACCTGCTGAACTGCCACAAGGCTTTAGCATTCTTTAGAGAAGACAGGAGAGTTTCTGCAAATCATTAGACCGGTGGTGGCAAACTTATGGGAATGCATCACAGTGCCATCTCTGCTGGCATGCAAACCAAGTCCTCCCAGCTTGACCCTAACATCTATCTGAGCGCCAAGCACAGGCTCAGAAGAGGCCATGCACAGGCTCAGAAAGTAGTAGCAGTGCCTGGTGATGATGTCACAAGCCATAACTAATTAGCCTTTAATTGCAGTGTTGGCACTGTGTGACAAGTCAGTGGGTTTGGGTTGTATTTTGGCCATCACTGAATTAGAGTGTTATTTCCCCCAGTCTTAAAACACTAACAGTGAATGTAAGCGTTTCCTTCCTTCATCCTTTGTGCCAAAGGGTCCTCTAAGCAGACTCTTTCTTCCCATCACACATCCTTCTTTCCTTTGTTCCTCCCTCTCCTTTCTCCCCTCCTGACCCTCCCTTCTTTTCATATCCTGAGTATAGATGAAAAGCTGTTTCTGTCCCAGGTTCTGAATCTACCTCCTTATTGCCAAGCCATATAGAGCTGTGTGTGCTCAGCTGACTTTCTCTAAAGGACAAAGGGAATCCGTTAGAAGAGGATTAAGAATGGAAGTGACAAGATTCTACTTACTTTCATAAATATCACGCTATGTGCCTTGCGGGAAAATAGATTGAAGGCTACTAAACTCCAGGCAGAACATGACTTTGAAGGCTGTATCTACAGTAAGAGAAACTGGGAAGTTTCTAATGTGAAGGAGGTTAATGAGAAGGGAGCTATTGGGGGAAAGAGAGAGGATCGGGATTTGAGAAATAAAAAGGAGAAAGAATAAGGACACTTAATAAGACACTTTTCTCCCTAGGAGAAGTTGGTTGTAAGCCAATAATCTGTAATAAATAATGTAATTCACACAATGTTCTTTATGAGTATCTTTCTGAGTGGTATGTACAGATAATATAACCATTTTACTTACACTTTTCTTGTGTTATTGCAATACTGAGTTTTTTCCACGTGTATATCCTAATCTTCCCACCATGTCCAGGTCTGACCACTGCTATCACTGTCCTATGCAAACCTCCCACAAACACTTGAAGCCAGACAAATGTGGGGTTTCATCTTGAGAAACTGAGCATTTTAGAAACTATAAATTTGGCATGGTACCTCACCACACTGATCAAATATGGTAGGAGAATTCTCATTCTGTCTTCTCAAGGCCACATCTAAATGCTGAGGCTCATAACTGATAGAGGCTCATAACTGAAATAAGAAAATTTGAACAAACTGTGTAAATACGTTAGGGGAGTGTGGCACTGGAGATGAGTGAACCTGGGTCCTCACTCCTCGGGGCAGTGTTCTCAGGAAGCCCCACAGTTAAGTGGGGGTCTAACAACAGAAGTGGAGAATTCCACTGAGGACTACAAGGAGCTATACAGAAGTCTGATCCAGGAACTTATTCCATTTTATGGGGCCGGTGAGAAATTCTGTAAGTGGACATTTTTAACAGGAAGGGAAATTTCAGCTGAGACTTCCTGAGACTGGTGGCAAAGGCAGCTGAGACCCCTGAACTGAAACTTCCTCCAATGCTGGGATGCTGGAGATACTGAGTAACACCCTGGTCAGGCATCTGGAAGCAGCTCTTCGCACAGTCCTTACACAGGGCTCACACTGTGGGAAGAAAACCACCTGGATGCTTACATATCTGAATTTTTGGTACAATGTCTTCTTCAGAACTAAGTTCTTTGTTTGGGAAGGTTTTTGTTTGTTTGTTTGTTTGTTTTGTTTTGTTTTTTTCCTTCTTTTCCATTTTTAAGAATTCTTGAGATTTTCATGTTGATGGCATTGAGTCTTCGGTATTTAGCTTAACTGTTTTGCACTTTTGGCTATTATATCTCTTGTAGATTTGCATACTGGTACTTTTCTTCAGTTTCTTCCTCATCAAACTTTCCGCTCTCATCTTTATCTTTCTGTAGCAGCTTGCTGCCTCTCCCAGGGGAAGATGGCTCCGTGGACACACTGAGGAGTTTTACACCTTTCTCTTCTTCTTCTTCAGAAGCTGCATTTCCCTCCACAGCCCTCCACAGCTGCCAAGTGCTGTGCACTGACAGGAACACGTTCTGAAATCTGGAGATGACAGGGGGTGTAACCTCAAAGCTCCAAAGAATCTGTGAGTGGATGAATATTTTCAAAGTTGCCCCTGTCACTGCATGGGTGCTACCTTCATTAGCCATCACATCTGCTCAGACAATGTACAATTAATCCTCTTCATCAGCATTAGACCAACTAGATAACTGGTCTGTGCTTTCCTCATTATCCAGCATAAAGCAATATTGTTTGCTGGCATTTAGTTCCCATTGAAAAGATAATTGTGATGGCTCCAGTCCACTTCCACTGAATTTCCATGGGTGGGGACACACATTATAAGGGGGAAGTGGATGAAAATAAATGACCACTCCTGAGAAGGACAGCTGCCTGCACGGCTACATCAGTGCTTTCAAAAGTATACCACGCATTCCCCAGGTCACAGCCAAAATGCTGGGAAACTTATTTGCTTTCTCTGAATCAACAAACAACCCTGTGAAGTGAGATCACTTATCATCTCACTTTAGATTTAAGACGAGTAAGTCAGGATGAGGCAAGGAATTTATTTTTTAATTACATCGCCAAGCATGCACTACTTATGGTTTATGTACAGTCATTCTCCTAAGGACCAGGAAGGACTGGGAAAACTAATGCGTGACTCACAGTTAAGTGGGGGTCTAACAACAGAAGTGGAGAATTCCACTGAGGACTACAAGGAGCTATACAGAAGTCTGATCCAGGAACTTATTCCATTTTATGGGGCCGGTGAGAAATTCTGTAAGTGGACATTTTTAACAGGAAGGGAAATTTCAGCTCAACTGGACTATACACTCCCATTGTTAAACGGAAGCTGACAGCTGAGCCACCCTCTGTGGCTGTGCCATAAACACATTTTCCCAGTCATGAGGGAAAGGACTGAGAGTGGGCAGTGTGAGTTAAAGCTCTGTGGATTAGTGTGGCACTGGAGGACAGAGGACTTCAGACTGTGATATGGTCCTGGTCCTTTAGTCAGACCACACCACTGATGCAGGTCCAGATCAGCCCAAGGTGGGGGCTAGAGGAGTTGGGGTAATCCTTCCTTGCTAATGGTTATCTATACATCCAATAAAGGGACTATAATGATGATTTTATAGTTGATTCTTTCCTGATTATTTTTCTGAAGACTTCTAGATAAGTCAAATATGGTCACTTACTCCTCAAACTAAACCCTGTCCAAATAGCTTTCGGATTTCTAATCCTGGCCCTACTTCATACATAATTAGCACAAGTGGAATCCAGATAATCCAACTAAGTTAAGACTTCCTGGAGAGCACAGGAACTTATTATGGTCCAAGAAGAATGTCTTCAACTCCCAATACATGAACCAGGGTGAGATCCGGAGGTCATAGTTGAGATAAGAAGGCAGATTTCTAAAGCATAGAATTCACTGCCTATCTTGGTCTTACTTCTTCCCCTGAGGCAAGTCCTCCTAAGAAAACTACTGTAAGACTTTAGAATTGTTACTTTTTTAACTTTCTGATAACAAAAATTCAAGGAGTAAAATTATTTTTGTTTCTGAATGAAGATCTTCAAAATAATGTAAATTCAGTATATAAACAGGATGGAAAATGTTCCTATTAGAGAAGGATACTTTGTTTTTTGCACACATTCTTTCTTTCAATGAACAGAAACATCTGTGAAGGCAGCAAGCATGGAGTTTGCAATCCATGGTTTTATCTGTACAGCAAGGAAATGTGGCCCAGTGGATGTAAGAGATGTGATTCCTATACACCTCATCCCGGCTCAAAGAACTTCAAGAGTTCCTCCTCCAGGAGAGTTTTAGAGCCCATTTTTGTATGTGAAAAAGAAGCCCAGAAAAATTTCTAGCCAAAAGCCCCTAAACAATACCAGGCCTGGAACTCCAAGGGAGGTGCAGAAGCAGTCTGTGAGAGCCCAGCTTTGCATTACCTTATTTATTAATAAAGCTGCCATCTGTATGTTGCAGGCAGGATGCACTGTACTAGTTAACTCATTTAATAACTTCTAGAGAAAAGCCAGACTTCTCGTGCACTGTTTCTGCTGAATTTTTACCCCCTGGATAGCAGTGAGCCAGGTTCTGGAAAGTCCTTGTCCTCCAAAACAGCTCTGATTTATTCAGTGTGTCCTAACACAGGTAGGTGAAAATTGTGGATTTAAAAAGGAAAGAGTCCTTGGTTTACTTACAAGGCAATAGATTTGGCGAATTTAAATAAGCAATGTTATGGCAATTTAATTTAATGGGAAAAGATCAGTCTTGGTCCACTCATACACCTATTGCACCACAGTAGATGGCTTATTCTGGAGGACACATTAGCCAAGCTGGCGAGGATTCTAAGGATGGGCAGGAACAGAACAGGACAAGAAAGGCCTTTGGGTGATAATGGTTTCCAAGGACCAATCATTTAATTGGCATATCGGATGTGGTCAATAATATGTCGCATAATTTCCATCATGGAACCCTGGCCTCCGATATCTGGTGTTTGAATATTTTTATTGCCCAAGGATGCCAAGACCGCAGCGCGAATTGTGGCAGCGTGGGAGTGCAGGCGGAGGTAATCCAGCATAATGCAGCTCGCCAGCAGCAGGGCAGTTGGATTGACCCAGTTCCAGTCCGCTGGATTCTTGTTTAGCTGCCTTGCGGCTGTCTCAAACACTGCGCACAAGCAGCCATAGTTGGCTGAAAGGTACAAGGCCTGAGTCCCCCACCAACCCTGTGCAGATGTTGGTGACAACGTTACCATAAAGATTGGGCATCAGCATGACATCAAACTGTTGAGGCCAGGTCACCAGCTGCATCGTAGCATTGTCCACAACCATGGTCTCTAAGGCGACCTGAGGATAGTGGGACGCCACCTCCCTGCAGCACTCGAGAAAGAGTCCGTCTCCCAGCTTCATGATGTTGGCCTTGTGCACAGCTGTAACTTTTCTGCACCCCATGTTCTGCGCCAGCTGGAAGGCGTACTCTGCAATGCGCAGAGACTTGGCCTTTGTGATGATCTTTAGGCTCTCGATCACGCCTTTCACACTTTCGTGCTCCAGATCGCTATACTCACCCTCCGTGTTGTCCCGTATGACCAAGATGTCTATGCCCTGGTGGTGAGTGTCCACATTCGGCAGGTTCTTGAAATGGGTAACATTGGCATAGAGGTCCAGGGTGGTGATCAGCAAGTTGTTGTAGGATTTGTGAGAAGGTGGTTTGGTGTGGTCAGTTTTAATACTGCCCTTTAAAGCCACAGAGTTTCGATGCACTGCCATGATGGCATTGTGAATCTCCTCCTTACCAGATGTGGTGGTCACCCGCACCTCCTCAAAGTCCACAGGCACACGTGCACATCGGAATACACTCTTGACATGCATCATGAGTTCAGGCCCAATGTCATCTCCAGGAATCATAGTCACTGTGTGCCGGCCGACGTACTTGGCTGGTGGAGGAATCCTGTATAGAAACACGGGTTTCTCAGTGAGATTGCAGTGCTAAGGAAAACTTCCCAAGAATGGCCAAGAATGCCAGGATGGAAAGTTGTCTTCATAGAGCAACTGGATGTGGACATCAACTTCAGGGTCATGATTATTAGGTTGAGGCGATTCAACACCTCATGTGAAAATATGTGCTCCTCTCCTTGAAATGAACTGGTTTCCTTCGGTGGAATTTGGATCTGTAACTATTGTGTAGGTCACAATTCTCTCCATTCCATGTTTAACAGACATTCTACTGCAGTGAGAAAGAGCGCTATGTGGCAGATGGGATGTGTTATACAGTAAGAAGTACAATACTGCAGAGTTGGCTAATTCACTAGGTAGCTTAAATGTGCTAACGTGTATAATTGTTTTCAAAATACACACTTTATTTTGAGAGTAGTTTCAGAAGCCATAGACAGTAACAATACGCCCCATCCCAATATAAGCACAAACATCCCACTGTCAAAATCCTGCAGGATGCTGTGCAGTTGCTATAAATGACTCAACACTGTCACAGTGTTGTTTCTCAGAGTTGATAATTTATACTACTTCTCACGTTTATTATTGTTCATTCCATAAAAACTAACAAATGTATATCATGTGTGCATCATCATAGTGTTACCCAACATTCTCTCTCTTTTAGAGAAGAAATAAAGAATTTCTCAGAAAAACACCTGGTTAATACTTCAATTTTGTGAGATTATCCCTAGACTTGCTGAATCAGAATTGCTAGAATTGAGCCTTAACCATTTACGTTTTAATAATTTTGATGTATACTAAAATTTGAGAGCCACTGGACTATGAAATATTCCACCAGGAATGGTGAGGTATCACACAAGGGCAAAGATAATGAGGGGGGAAAAACACTGTAAACACTTTTAGGGATTCTTAGTAGATAAACAGGGCGAGGCTACTGGGCTAGGCACACTGGACATTACTCTCAGCGCATTAACAAACCAGATGATAGCCACACAACTAAGGGACATGCAGGACAACTGAAGTAAAGGGAAACGGGTGAGAACTGAGATGAAAACAAGTTAAATTTTAGATATGTTGTGTCCTTGGAGGCCAAATGCCATCCACAAAATGATGCCTGGGGGTGGGTGCACAAATGTTTGTGTGATTACAGAAAAGGGAGCACAGTTGATGATGTAGATTCAAGAGCCACCAAGTAAGGGAGAGAGTGAAGCACATTTAGCATGAAAACAATCTAGAGCAGAACGGTTTAACTTGTGTTTTTCTATAACAGATGATGAATGACACTCATAGGAGACACACTTCCAGGAGTATATTAAGACTGTAATGACAACCACAAACACACACACACACACTTACACACACATCACTCACTGAAGGAGTTGGCCAAATAAAGCAAAGAGCTGCCAAAATGTTTCATAAGTCACAGCCACACAGGCTTTTTACTAGCAAGTGACTGATGAAATACATTTGGTTAACTCATTGGTGGAGTCCTCAACTAACTTGCATGTGGCTCTGAGTCAATCCCAGGACCACAAAAATATATAAATATATAGAGATAGCACATATATCACATAGCATTTATATTTGCATGATGTTAATATAAATAGTATTGTTCCATATATCATCTGCATGAAGACTTCGATTTTGACTTAAAATTATAAGTATAACCTCGCTTTTGTTTTGATGATAGAAGGACACATATGCACACATACGTTTTTTCACATCTCGTGAAATACAGACCTGTGGATAAAGTCAAGGAAGCAAATAGATCTATGAATTCCCAGTTTATAGGCAATCATATTTCAAATTTTCTGTAACTATTAATGATATATAAATAACCACAAATCACAAATATTTTCAGACAATATGAAATGGATTATGAATTATGAGCAATTTCCTTCCAGATAACCCAGTGCCACCCTGCCAGAAGTAAGCCAGCACACAGACATTCCTGAAATATAAATGAGTTTGACTTCCCATTAATAGTAGAATTGGGTGAGTCTAATTCATTAATAGAGTCATTCAGAGTATTTACAACAGCACTTATGAATAAGTAAGTAGCCCATCACCAAGTGGTGACCTTATCCCCCTGATTGTGAGACGGTGGCGTCATGCTACTGCGAGTGAAACATAGTACACAAGGCAGAGGATTGTCCAGAAAGCACGGGAAACAGATGATGGCAAAGTTGGATCCAAGTGTTAGAGGAAGGCAGGTAGCAAAGAACTGAGCTGGGGTTCAGGGGAGGAGAGAGAAAGGGGTGTCACAGAATCTAAGAGAAGTGAAACATCCAAGGAACGAGTCATCCACACTGCCAAACCGCTTTGAGAAGGAAGCAAAATTACAAACAATAAAAAGGGAGTCATTGCCAAACTCCCTGAGGCCACATGGGTCAGTGGTCAAGCACACTGGCTCCAGAGCCCAGCTGGCCCTGTGAGCCCCTGAGAAACTTGCTAACCTCCTGACTCCTTTGCTTGCATCCCCTAGTGGGCATAAAGAGCAGAGAATAAAAATACTAGACATAGAGTAGGTACAAGGCAGTAATGAAAAGAAGATGTAAATTATTTTTTCTTTTTGAAGATGTAGATCTTATCATGTCAGAAAAAAAGAATGCAGGGAAAGAAGAAAGAAGCACAAAACTCTTACACTTCAGGAGCAGGTCAATGAAATAAACCTAGACCAAATGGCCATGATCGGCTGATAGTAAACTGCCTCTCAGTGACCAGGTCAGGACTGAGAAGTGCGGAGGATAAAACAGCTGTGTCCATGGGTTAAGGTGCTTAGAAAAGGGATTTTAGTCCAGTCCTGAAGGCAAGGCTAGTAACACTAAAGGCAGAGGAGGGAGAGGCTTGAAAAGGCTGTGGAGTATGCTAAGCATAACTGTTTGGCTGAGAGGAAGAATTTTTGTAGGAAAACACTAACAGACAAATTGCAAAGTACATTGGTGTCAGAGAGTGGAGGGCTCTGAATGACAAATGAAGGGATTTCTATGACACCGGGATGACAACAGAGAGGCATTAAAGGGCTATGAAATAAAAATAAAGGGCTTTGAAAGATATTACTTTGTTTAAACAAAAATGGCAACAGTAAAGTTTCAAAGCCTGTGACCCATGCATACCAAATCTTTGCCCCAATGCAAGGCGAAATTTTACAATACATCCATACTCTTTAAGAAAGTTCTTAAAATCAACTTGAAGTCCTAGTAAACCAATTATGAAGACCGTTGCAATTTTTTCTAAAGGAATTAATACACTAGGTGTCAAATTGCTCCATTTTCAACGTTATAATTAAAGTAATGCCCCATCTGTCCTGCCACTAAAATTTAATATCCACAGGACAGCGGCCAGTTGACAGTGGACTGTGGAAAGTGAGAGTTAAAATACTCCAGAAAGGTCCTGCTGACTTCTGGAAGAGGTCGTGCATTACACAGACCACAGCAAACCTGCTGTAGAAGCCCTTCTTTGAGAAAGCAGTGCCTACACATATTTTTATGTGAAGAAATGTTTCTTTGGTATAGTTTTCTTTTTTTTATTTTAAAGAGAATAAAACAAAACAATACAGAACAAAGCAGATCAGAGCATAACAATGCAAGCAACACAGGTTTTCAAAACAAGACAACAGGAAATCAACAGTAACTACCATAATGGCTCTTGTTTTCTTTGAAACAGTTGTCCATATCTTCACACGCAACGAATTCAAACAAAACAAAATAGTATAAAATTCATAAAAATTAAAGAATAGAAGCATTATAGTAATTCAAAACCAGACAATAGGAAAATCAACAATGGTTACCATAATGTCTCTTCTCTGCAAAACAGCCATCCATACCTTCACACATAACGAAATAAAATAATTGAAAACAGACTAAAACCAACCAAAACAAAGAATAAAGGCATTATTGGACTTCAAAACAAGATGACAGAAAATCAGCAATGGCTACTATAACGTCTCATTTTCTTCAAAGTAGTTGTTGATACCATGACATCAATTCTTGTAAAGTCTTTAGCAGAAGATCTACACATGTATAAACCTATACATGTACATCTATCCTTTCTGTAAAGAAGGAAAAATGAGACAAAATAAAATGCAAGAAAAACAAGAATCCAAAGAGACAAAAAATAACAATAATGAAGAGCCCAAAACAATACCAATATAGACTTTCAAAACAAGGTGGTAGGAACATATCTAAGTTTGTTATTTTACATAGTTATCTGCAAAAGAGTTACTCAGATTACCAGATATAAACATGCAAAATAGGTCTAATTCTATGAATCCTAGCTGTTTTGTTCCAAGAACTAACAGAATTAGCAGTACACTCATCTTAGCTATCTTCAGTGTGCATAAACAAATTTTTATCTTTTTTTTCTTTTCCCTTCCTTTTTTTCTCCCTTTTCCCTATCTGAATTATTTTTCCCCTTTAAGCAGTCTGTTACCCTTCACAACACTTACTGAAGATTTTGGTTCTTATTTACTCTTTCAGTTTCTTGCACTAGGGAGACAATACTCACTCTCTGTAATCTTGTCTTCAATGTCTAAACGTCTATCTTCACATGCATTGAGGTGGTTTTGCCAGCTTTCAGTGGAATTTTTGATTTCCTGGATAGCTCTTTGAATCTGTTTCATGCATTCTATTTCTTTCTCATATTGTTTATTCAAGGTTTCCATCCTTTTTCAGTGCTCCTCAATTTTTTTTAACTATATCTTCTTTAAATGTGTCCAACATTTCTTTTGTTACATTTATTATTTCTTCTTTTACCTAGGAGATTATTTCTGATCTGAGCTCCTTACAGCTTCCTGGAGTTGTTTCTTTACTTCAGTTGCTCCCATTTCAGAAGTTTCAGGTGTGTGGCTCACGCGTCCTTCTATGTCCCTGTCTCCTGGGCCTGTTTGGGGCGGACTGGAGGTTACAGACTGCACTTTGCTCTTTTGTTTTATCACTTCCTGTTTCCCCTCAGGAAGCCAAATGCAAGTCTCACTTGCTCCCTAAGTTGAGGATGTCTGTCCACAGGGCAGGGAGTTTCCTCAGTTGTGAGAAGGTCATTAAGCAGTCCTTATCAGGTCCCTAGTGACACTCAAAGGCTCCTGAAATGGGGGAGTACGCTGGGTGGACCTTCAGCCCCCCCACATGGCACTCTGAATCTTCACAGGGTTGCAGGGCAGGATTCTCCCAGGTTCTGGGTGGTACACCA